ATATATATATATATATATATAAAATCAGTCTTCAAGTATTTTACTACACTTCAGTATGTTATTCTTATTAAGTAGGGGTTATTTTTTAGGATTCTATACTTAACCTAAGTCTCTGAGAACCTGACAGCTTGTACTTCTGGAGACTCCAGGTAGGCTGCAGTTCTGGAAAATGGTGGCGCTGGAGACTAAATGGTTCCTGGTGATTTCACACCTAATTCTTCACCTTAATTCCTAATTCTTTTGCAGTTAACATGCATCTTTTCTTCTCCACATGTTTTTGACTGACCCTGCTGACCCACTGAGCATTTTGCTGTCCAATGGTTATGCATTCACTTTGCAATTTCTAGTATTGTATTCGTATTGAATATTTCTCATGGGCATTTAATAATTTTTGACTTTCAGTCTGAGTTAAATCTCTTTTTTGGATCATTTTATCTGTAAAAGAAAATCTTTTTAGTATTATTATAAAAAAAATAATAATAATAAATGTTTCACTTCCAGCCTTCATGAATAATTATATATCAATAGTTTTATCGTGCAGTGTTTAGTTAGAGCATCATGTAGTGACCAGTCCTTTTTATTATTTATTAGAATGATAATTTATGATGTTTTAATATCTCATGTGTTAAATGAATTAGTATGGGCATTTCTAAAGTGAGGCGAGGCTCAAAAAAATCACTGGTAGGGGTAGAAATCTGATTGCTAAATTATGGGTACCATTTACAAATCTGTGTGGGTACAAACTGTTAAACTGATGAAAGTACAGTTTGTAAACTAGATTGTACAAAACTATAGGCATGTGTCCGGATTTATCCAAACATCTCAGAGCAAAGGCAGGATGGAGATCAATTAATATGTCCCACATACTGTATTTACAATAGGAGTTATAAAAAAAATAGACCCACATATTAGAATGTCAACTAGTAAAATTCACTTTTACATATCTTTAATTGTTTACTAGTTAAAAAAATCAATTGTAAAGATAAAAGAAAACGGTATCCATTGTAAGACAATGTTTTTTTCTGACATGTTGGTGTTTTACCTTTCACTTGGATGTTATAAGTATCATTGAGTAAATACCATCTTCATTTCAGGCTTAAAAGCAAAATAAATGTGATTATTTTAAAGAGGGCTGATTCTGTTCTAGACCCACTGTATTATTTGTATATATGCAAAAACACCCAGACATTTAATAAAAACTAATTTTGTTTTGCTGTGTATTTTGTGGCAGTATATGGTTTAATGAGGTGAAGGGATATCTTTATAATAATAAATAAAAAATGTGAAGTGTGTAGAAATGTGAATACTGATGCAAGACAAATTCTGTATTTAGAAAGCTAGCATAGACCTGATGTTTGCAAACCAAGTGCACAAAAATGACAAAGTAGCTTTATCCACAAGAGTCTCTAAAGATGAACAAGCATTGAACATTTATTACGTCTTTTGTTCAGAGCGATGCACTGAAGCTTTCACTCATGAATTAGTGTCATGATCTAAAATCCTACTGATCTCATTGCTCTTCAGTTCTTCATTATGACTGACAGAAAGGCAAAGTTAAAGTGAACCATCCCACATCAATATATCTTTTGCACTACTGCTTCTTCAACACGAGAGAAAGACCTCGAACACATGGCACTTCACTGCGACCTGCTGCTCTGAGCTATTCATCTTCAGCCCCGAAGTAATGCATTTAAATCTCAGATGATGTCTGCCATGTCAGCTTGGTTACGGTTAGATAAAACACGATATATTAACAGATACAGTAATTGACAGACGTTTTATTTTTAATAACATTCATCGAAGTGATCCTAAACTGACTTTGTCAGCAGGATATACACTACTGTTCAAAAGTTTGGGATCAGTAAGCAAGTGTCTTCTGCTCATCAAGGCTGCATTTATTTGATCAAAAATACAGAAAAAACAGTAATCTTGCAAAATGTTATTACAATATAAAATAATGGTTTCTATTGTAATATCCTTTAAAATATAATTTATTTCTGTGATGCAGCGCTGAATTTCCAGCATCATTACTCCAGTATAAAGCGTCACATGACCTTCAGAAATCATTCTAATATGCTGATTTATTATTAGAATTATCAACAGTTGTGCTGCACAATATTTTTTTGGAA